TTGCATAGAATTTGGCTAATAACGGCATGCTCTATGTTGCACAATAAGCCCACGCGCGACTGATGGCCAAAGTGTTGCTGCTGCATGCGTGTGGTCATCATTGCCACACACACATGAGGGTGCTGATAAATGTACATATGTATGTGTGCGTGCATAAACGCCAGTTGGACGCATTTGGAAGTGCCGAAATATTCACGCGCCTGAAATTCGGTTTTGTTTTCGAAAAATCCCAATTTTTTACTTGCCAAAACTCGCAGTTAATTGCCGCGTGCGCGCTGCCTTCGCAACCGTGAGTTAAAATCTGAAAATCTGTAACGCTGCATGCGGCATTGCTCATCGCATGTCGCACAATGTTTCCGTTCTGCGGTGATTTTCGTGCATTTGCATCCATTTCCGCTCTTCGCTGGCGCTTCATTTGCATTTTTTGCTCCCGCACTTCTACGTTGTTGTTATTGTTATTATTTCTTCACTTTTTTTTTTTTGCGTGCGTTCAACACGTTGGAAAACTATCAACAATGTTGTTGCATGGCTGCGGCAGCTTCCGCTCTCCAATTGCCTTCACAAAATGAAAAGTGCGGTTATGTATTTTTTCTTTTTGTTGTACGGTAATTGTTGTTGCAGCTGTAGTCTTTACCATTGTAATAGTTGTTGTCGCATCAGCCGCTTATCAAACCGTCAACAGGCAGCGATTTTTCGGTTATTTCGCCGCGCCAATGGACACAATTTGCAATTTTTTTAATTCGCCGCGTTTTGTTGTTGTTTTGCCTTTTGGAATTATTTTGATTTTTTTTTTAATCGCAACATTTATGACCGCCCCTTGCGCCTGCCCGCCAATGTTGTTGCATGCAATTGCAGCTGTTTTATTGTTATTGGTTGTTTTTTATTTACTTATACTTTTTGTTGCTGTTGCACGCGCTGCTTAGGGACTTTGAGGCTGCTGCGGTCGGTTGTGCGCACAAAGGCTTTTATGCCAATTTTTTCCAACCTTTTTGTTGTTGTTTCCACTTTTTCTATCTTGCATTTTTATTTGTTATATAATTTTATTGCTGCTCGGGCAGCTAGTTCGCGCGCCTGTGTGTGTGTGTCGGTGCGTGTATTGCTTGTGTTGCATGTTCATCATTTGCATCATTTCTGCCTTTTGCTTTTGTGCGCTCGCTGGAGTATTGTCCTGTCGATTTATTCAAATGCGAAATCCTGTAAAATCCCAGTCAGCCGTGTATTTTGGTGACGACAGCAGCGGCGTTGCTGGTGGCTGAATTATATAAGTAGGCATTGAAATGTTGCAAGTTGAGTGCTTGCCACCCGGCCACCCATTCAGCGCCTTTGTTCCAATATGCCTCTTCAATGCGAGCGCGTTGAGTGGCTCTTCAACGTAACAAATACAAATATAAATACAAATACAACTGCAATATAAATAGAAAATCACATAAATCCTTGCTATTCTTTGCTAAATTAAAAAATGCAAAATTTTAAATTAAAGAAAAATACTCCATACAGCGTTGTGCGACCTCTTTCCACACTCGATCTAAGCAAAAAGCGTTGCGCTTCACTTTATTTAGTTGCCAACAGCAGACACAACAGAGATAGCAACGCCCAAACAACAAGAATAACAAGGATAATAAACGGAAACCCGTTGGAAGGGCGCTCTTGCTAACCGTCCATTCTGAGGAGTGAGCTCTGAAGCGCAGTTCTTAGTTCATTGCAGTTTTAGATGGGAAATACATCACCTGCTCGATGCCATACAATTCAAGTACGTTGTCGATTTCAAAGAGATTTACTGCATTCGAGATAACTTTTATGGAGAAGTTTAGACTTTTCGAAACGTAAGCAATTAGTAGTCTGTATAAATATCTGTGGAAACTTACAAATAAAAAAAGGTTTGAGTTTTTAATACAAAATATTATAAAATAAATATTTTAAAAGCCTTCAAACTAGGCTTTAAATGCCTCAATGAAAACGGGCAAGGGTACACCAGCTTGTTTTCGGTGCATAGTTCAGTCTCGGCATTTCACCTGACATGATATCCTTACAGTTATTTTAGAAGTTACAGTATCGAAGCATGAAGAACCCACCTTCATGTTTCTCTGATAAACATCGTTTATAAGACATTGGTTCTAATGTTGTTGTTGCAGCGGTAGTAAGCACTCCCGACAAAATTTTCTGGTTTTCCGAAGAAGTTGACTAGGCAAGTTCGAATATATGTACATTGTGGTAAATACGTGTCCGTTCGGGTTACGCGGAGATAAAGCTCGTGCTGTGCCGTGAACGGTAGTCACTACTGGATGTTGGTTGCGGTGCGAGTTTGGCGATCATACTTCGCTTTGTCAGTAGGAAACTGGAGTTGGCTCTCGTGTTTCCATACAAGTCCAACAACATTATTTCTAACAGCAATAATGCTTCATCAAAGGCAACGTGCCGACTGTATTTTAGCTACAGCTAATAGGCTTCCATAAAATTCATATGACGCTCCCAATCGAGTTTCAACTTCCAGTACCGAATTGTTGGATAATATCAGGAGACGTACCCAAATCTGAAAGAATAAACTCATCCATACGGAGGACTTCATACGATCAGCAGCGGCTCATTAAGTAAAATTTTGTGGATACTCTGGTCTATGCGCTCTAGTTCTTGAGTCAGTGTAATCTTGTTAGCACGTAGAATGAAATCTTAATGGCAGCAATACTTAACTCAGCAATAACCGAATATAAGACGTTCATAGTTGGTGCGACTGTATTTATGTACATATGCATAATACAAATAGTTCTCTGAAATAACTGAAAAATTTAAATTTACTAGATATGTTGAGCTACCGCTTCACAGTGCCTTAATTTGAGGTCGCAAAAGTTGCAGCGCTGCATCTTTAAATATAATACAAGTGGAAAGATTATAAGTATGTACTTAAGCTGCAATTGGGCAAATCGCTTTTATTCAAGCCATAAATTGAATGATGGCTCCTCTGATTTCCCGATTGTATTTTTCTTACTTCAATAGCTGTGGCTGCCATTTTTATTCGAAACTGAAATTTTCATTCGGTTGTAAACGAGACTTTAATGAATACCACTAACAAGCTGCCACCGCCACCACCACTGCCGCAGATCCAACCGACAACGCCAGCGACGCAGCCGCAATTTGAACAACGAGCTTGCGAATTCGCTGCAGTTGAAGCGGGTAGGGGAGCAGGCAGCCAGCAACCAGCAGCGGCAACCCAATGTTGGCTAGTGGCTGCAAAACCTCTCCCCCCCCTCCTTGCCTGCTCGTGTGTTTATTGTACAGAAGTAGTTGTTGTTGGCTTTGATGGCTTTTCAAAATTTTCATTTTCATTTTCATTTGCATTTTTAAAAGCGTTGCGCTCTCTATTTTTATTATTTCTGCAATATTATGATTGTGGTGTTGCTGTCGAATCGCGACTGTCAGTCTTCATCGACTTCGACAGCATCCTGTCGGTACTCATCAACAGCGCAGCTTACTCGTTTGTACCGTTAGCGCTTGGTATCTAAATATTTGTGTACCGTTGGCTGTGTGTGCGGGCGCGCGTGTGTGTTTTTAGCTTTGCGCGGCGCTGCGGTTTGTTTATATTCAGATTATTTTCTTTTGATTAGATTCGCGTTCATTACGAACGCATTTTGCACTTCTCACTCGCAATTTCATGTTTTTCCGCTTTTTAGTTGGATTTTGTTTTGTTTTTCTCCACCTTTTGTTTTTATTGCATTAGCTATTATTGCTATTGTTTTTGTTGCTCCTGCTGCTCCTCTACTAACATTTAGCATGAGAATTTAATTTATGCAAATTACTTTAATGCCCACATTGCGAAGTGATAACTAAGTAAAGTGAATAAATTTCGAATTACACACACACATACACATCTGCACATACACATACATATAAGTATATATTCAAGCAAATGAATTTTTATTGCCTTTATTGCAATGCTTTGAATTTTTAATTTTAATTTCGCAGACATAATGAGATTTTAATCACTGCCGCCTGTCAAAAGCGTGGCAGTGGCGTAAAGCAATCAACAATTTGGCCGAAAATGTATGCAAAAGTTGCCTAATATGATGTTTATTATGTTTAAGGGAGTTTCTTACTTGAAGAAATCAGACTCATTTGCATGCATTCTAAAATTTGTGCGAAGGCCTGAAGGCTGTGTTATTAAAATTATACTTTCCACTCAACAGTTTTGATCATTAATTACCACGGAAATTTCCAGTTTAAAAAAAAAACAGTAATTAAAAATTTCTGAATATGCTTTCGAAATTTTACAGCATCCATTTTTTTTTATCAAAACCTCCATCCGAGTGGTATTCCAGTGAACAAGTTCAGCGCTGCGACCATAGCATGTGTAATCACCTGCAAGCGATCTATAAAAGGCAATAGGCACTTACATGTGTGAACCTGTGGTGGGTTGGTGAATGCAACCTTTGAATCCGAAAACGGTGAAAGGCTGTATGAAGAGTGAAATAGAAGCTCAGAGAGCGCTCGGTGGACCATTAATCTAATCATTGTATGATTTTTAGACATATGTATATCAAAGAGAAGCAAATCTCAGAAAAATTATAGAAACAGGGGCTTTTACGTTTCTTTCAAACTGAGGCCATTGATTGAGTTAGGTGTCACATCGTGTAGCACGAAAACCCACCAAAAATGTTGCATAGTTCAAGCATAAATTGAGTAGCATGCTTCGATACATTATAGAAATCATGAGGCAATAGTGCCACCAGTCCAAACACGCGTCACGTTCAGACTCTTGGCGTATGCTTTCCGCGATTGCTGATCACCTGTTTGATGGTCCAATGTGTTTCATGAAACAACTGGCTATTAAAATTATTTAATGAAGCGTCGCTTAAAAATTTGAAAAAATTATTTATTTCAATACTTATCCTTTTGTTTTCAAATAGCCCAGTGAAATCTCTATATATTGGATTATTTAAACACGTGGTTATTTACAACTCACCTAATGATTTTATTCTTGAAATTGTGAAAAAGATAAACTAATTTAATTTTTGTATTAATCACTTTTATTCAATTACTTATTTTGATTTCGATTACATATTTATACACACACTCTCCTGGCACACACTGCTCTATAGTGTTTGTTACTTTTTATTCGCCCTACTATATAGCTAATATTTTGTCACATTGTTATTCGTAACTTAATTTATATTGTTTTTCTGGCATTATTTATTTTAGGCTTACTTTAATTACTCATTATTTTTGTTTATTCAATTATGCATTACATACAATACACCATAAATAACTACTAATTACAGTTGTTTTTGTTGTCACATTATCGCTATGAATACAAAAATATGTATGAATATTTAGCGCAAAAAAAGAAAAAAATTATAAATCACTCTCACATTAAAAAATATATTACAACTAGTATGAGATAAAAAAAATTTCTAGCGCACGATTATTTATCTATTTAGTAACAGCATTTCTATAACTCATTACATGCAAAGCTTCGTGTAATTATTGGGCAGCGCAAAAAATGAAGTGAATTTCTAAACGGTGTCCGAAAATTGTAAAAAAATAATGCATGATTAAAATGAAAATATTTGCTGTCGCCTTTTGTTTAAGCTCGACCAATAAATCAATATTAATAAAGCATGTGTTAGTGTTGTTGCTGTTTCCGCTATTAAATGGCTAATAAATTAAAATTTAATTTAGTATTCGCGGCAATTCGGCATTTCATTTTTTGTCATTATCAAAAATAACACGCATAATTTTTTTTGTAGTTGTTTGCATTAGCCGCTGAAATTGTTGAAAATTAATTTAAAACCTTTTAAGCTCATTAAGCCATATTATTTATTTACGGATTTTTGCGGCTTGTAATTTTTAATAACTTCAATTCAACTGCATATGCTGTAATCATAGTTAGCCACGCTTCACTCGTTAGCCAAATAGTTTTAAATCAAATCAAAATTGTTAGGCGCTGCCTGGGAATTTCAGAATTTAGGTGAAATCGCTAATTCAGTGATTTAATCAAAAAGAATAATGAGCGCGTTGTAATTTACTGTCGTGAGCATGTACACATTTTTATTTTGTGGCTTTGAAACGTGTCATATGCGCTTATTGGAATAACAACTATTTGCGTTCTTTTGTAATTTTTGTAGATTACCACTTCTTCCTTTAACAACACTGCGCGTTTTGCTTAAACATAATCGATTTAGCATACTGCTACAAAAGTCGTTAGCATATAGGAATTACTAAGTGTGAGAACAGGGAATTGCTTTTGTATGTATTCGGTACTTCGCTTTGGTACAAAGTTTTTTCGCATTGAACTAACGCCAGCTCGTGAAACTCCAGCTGGTCAAACGAAAACGAGTCTGAAACAAATTAATCGTAACTGTACTAAAGTCTTCACTATAAACTGATATCTGTCTTTATTGTTGAATTCTAAATGTCAAAAATTTTAAACATTTCTTTAACTGAGCAAAATCATAGTGTAAAGTTCCAGTTAGGAGCGAAAATATAGTTTAAAGCGCAACGATTTATCAAATTTATATTAAATTTCATAAACACGAGTTTAAAACTAGATTTTGTGTTAAGCATCAAACACAACAAAGAAGCATTTATTATGTGCACAATTTTCATTAACTCGCTTGAGCTCTAACTTTTTGATGGAGCACAAAAAACAAAATCTTAGAACTTCTGACAATACATAAAAACTCTAATTTCACACAGAGTTTACTGTCTTATTTAAAAAGCACTTTCAACAAGCTGGTTTGTTAGCTTCCGAGTAGCACTTACGGACTCTATATTTTTACCATTTTAAATATTTTTGGAAATATTTTATTGGAAAATCACTAGCTTTTAACCAGTTGATGGTCTCCAACACTACTCTAGAACTGTTGTAAACTGAAACCACTTATTTTCAAATAGAATTTGGTGAAATTCTAACAAGTTTTGTTGGTTTAAGAATGGATTAGTACCTTTTCGAAGCAGAATTTTCAGTACCGAATTTGAAGTTAGAATGTCGTATTTTTACCTGGTTATAGTTTTACTGCATGGCTATAGGGCCAATAATTTCAATTATAATATGTCAATGCACAATTGATGGATTTATTACTGCGAAAATGTCTATCGAATTTGTGCTCATTTCAGCATGATAAAGTATTCTCACATTCAAATTCTAAATTGAAAAGTGAAAAATGCTTAAAATCCAAAAAAAAAAAAAATTTGTTTACCAAAAAAAATGTCTATCGAATTTCAAAAAACATAATTTCGAGATTTAATCGCTACCAAGCCACAACTCTCCAGATTGCTGCCATTCTATCAATGTTATCTACAGCACAGCTCAGAAGTTCGACTATTTTCAAGGAGAGTAGGACATCAAATAACTGACAACAAGTATCCATAATCTCTAGTCAAACAAGAGGCTGGTAAAATAACTGTTTAATGTGACTATAGGTTTTGTTGTGGTACAGAGTTTTGTGATTGCTTGTTTCCTTCAAAACACACGCAGTTTTTATATTTTTGTAATTATTTTTTTAATTTTTATTAATTTTCTTTTTCATATAGGTTTAATTTACTAATTCTGAAATATATATATATGTATATATTTGTATTTTACATTTTTGTTTTGGAAAATTGGCGCTTGCTCAGTGCAGCAATTCAGTTTTAATTTGTTACACATACATACTTACATACATGCTACCGTTAGCGACTAAGCTTAGTAACTAATTGTTTTAAGTTATACAAATTACATATTTCCAGTATGCACTTAGTCTAATTTTTGTTGTAATTGCTTCTCTAAACGCTACAGTATTTACAAAGTCTGCATTTTACCGTTTGTATTTTGTGTTTTGCTTATTATTTGTTATTTATTTACAAAAATTATTTTAATTTTTTTTTTTACTTATATTTATTACTAGCAATAATTTAATGTTTTTTGCTACTTTAACTTTGTTTTTGGGCTTCATAAATTTTTTTTTATTTTACCGTATTTGATTATTCTTTGATTCGTTATCGTCTACCAATTTTTACTCGCTGGAATTTTTTAATTACTTTTGGGATTACTTGCTTTGTTTGGAAGATATTTTTGATTTTCTTCATTTGCATTTCACATTTTTACAATTTTAAGCATATTATCTATATGGATATAGGGTTATTTATATATTTGTGTAACCCACATAAAAGTGGTCAAAGATAAGAAAAAAAATTTTGTATGAAAAATTATATATAATTTTTTGAAAATAGGTTTTTAACACCCCTAGTTACAAAGATTAACGAAACATCGCACAAAAACCAAGCAAAAATCCTAAAGTATAGAATAACACTTTTTTTAATATTTGCTGAAAATAACAGTTTTTTTTAATTTTTGGAAATAGGTTGCGAAAAAGACTGAAAACTTGAACAGTTTAAAATTTTAATTAACAACTGCAGCAACAAAGTTCGAAAACATTCTACACTGGTATTAAGTATGCCTTATTTTTATTTTATATTTTTTATTTTGGATTATCTTTAAAATATTTTAAAAATTTATTATAAATCTTTTAAGAATACTTTTAATATTTCCATGTTAATAATGCAAATTAAGTAAAATTCAAATTCAAGTAAAGAAATTTCCACCAATTAATTTATCATTTACAACAAAAACGGTTCAAAATTTTAACATAAAAAAAAATTTATTGAAGAAAACGTTTTTAACACTAATTTTTGTTTTTTTACGAATCCACCACTGCTATTATTCCATAAACTTTGAAAAAGGGTGGTAACACTAACAATAATAAATCATAAGTGAGACTAGAAAAATTCTTAATGACATAACATACACACACACATATGCGCCAAACAAGTGTCAAATGAAATTTAACATACATACAAACATTTTGGTTGCTCACTCAGCTAATTTTTTGGGACATTGAAACACCAAATGACGACAACTAAACGTCAACGTTAACATTTGGACTCGTCATAAGTTGCGATTTACAAAAATAAAATGCGAAAAGTGTATACACACACACACGGACATTTGTCATTGCAGTGAGTGTGTATACCCTACTAAGCCTAATAGTTCGCTACGCTTATAAGCTAGTACCTATTTGCGGTCAGGTGGCAACGCTGCGACTGCCGAAAGTTATTATTTTGACTGACATTTTTTAAATAATATTCAAGAATCTCCGAAGTGTTGTAATTTTTTGACGAAGTGTCAACTGACCTTTGGCGCAAGCGCACACCTGCCGCGCTTATTTTGTTTTGTCTGCCGCTCTCTGTGCTGTTTATGTTTGTAATATATACGCTTAAAGACTAATATTGCTATACACGCGCGTCCAGTTCTTCGCTCTCCGCGAGAGAGCAAAGCCTTATACATATATAACAAAAAGAAATGCTCATACCACAATCATGCATACACATATAATTAAATATATGGTACATATGTATATAACTATCTCAATATATGTGGCTAAAAATGCAACGTTGCGCTCAAAAGCAACACTGCACTTAGACTATGCTATGTACATACAGAGGCGAAATGTAAGTAAACGAAATCAAGTTCTTTAGCATTTAGTACATCACATCACATCTAGTACATATTGAATTTGTTTAGCTTAATAAATAAATTATGAATTAGCAAAAACCCCTACAATGCATATATCTAATTAATAATTACTATTTACAGCACTCAATCACTCTGCGCTCGCATACGCTTGCGCACGCCACCTTACACGTGTAATGTTTGCGGATTCGACGCTACGGCTGTCGGTCCACTGCACGCCGCCAGCGCGTCCTCCTGCTTGGGCGCCACCGCCACTTCCACATGCGACGTCGCCATCGCCGCTGACATGCGCAGCGCTTGTGGCGTTTGACTTGGCAACATCTCTTTGTGTATGAGCACCTCTCGGTCCACGGCGTTGGCTACGGCCTCCATGTGTTTGCGAACGCGCGGCCGTAAATACATATACAAGACGAAGACGATCACTAAAAGCACAAACGGTCCATATTTGCCGCATGCGGGATGCTGATCTAAGAAATTCGCTACCCATTGAGCCAACGGCCGCTCATCAACGAGTCGGTTACGCACAACAGAATTTTGTTCTTCGGCGGGCGTGGCAATTTCGTCCGTACGACGTGCTGTCAAGGTGCTGGTGGCGCTTGACTTTGTGCTGGCTGAAGTTGTCACTGGCGATTTGGTGCTGCTGCTGGTGGTACTGCTGGCTGTTGCTACATTGGCATTTGGATTGTAGGGGCTGAGGAAGTCTTTAGAGCTATCCTTAAGTATGCGCATGCGTGAGTCGGTCTCGCCCGAATTGCCGCCGATATCAACCGCGCTATCCGCGCCATACAAATGCGGCATCATGCCCTCTTTGCTGGCCATGTTGCCAGTCTCCAGTGTAATCGCTTGCATGCCGACAACAGTGACGTCGCTGAGCTTGTGCGTGTCCACGATCAGTTTGTAAGAGCGTCGCATGCCGCCGGTCTCCTGAAAAGATAGAGAGAAGAGTGAAAAAATTAATATGATTACCAAATTGGAAAAGGATTGTATACAAGCAATTGGCTTGTATAAATATAAGTGAAAATAATTGTGCGAATCTTTTTGCGTTGCACATAAAGGATCTGCAGACCGCTACACTTCGTTTGCCTGTCATTTCAGTTGTCAGGAAAAAGGCTTGTAAAAATGTTAACAAATTAATTTACAAATGCAACGAAGCGACGCTGAGCGCTTGTTGCGCTCTACACGCATGCATTCTTGCAACATTCATGCAACATGCGAGCACTTCACTTGCAGTCAGCTGCCGCCACTGCTTGCAACATGCCAATCGATCAATATTTTTGCTTCGCGTTGTTCACTTTGTTCTACACTGTCAATTAGTGTACAAATATTAACAATAATAAGAACAACAACGGTGCCGACAATTGTTGTTGTTGGCGATTCGACAATTTACGTCAGTAAGTGAGCAACACGAGCAACAGAGAAGAATGCAGCAAATCATTCATAATTGCGTGTCATGTCATGGACCTTTGGATACCACTAATCACACCGGTAGGCAAGCACGCAACGGCAAATGAGGAAATCGTAAGGCCTGGTGGAAACTTGTGAGCGCCCATAATAGTTGATGGCAATCATTGTGGAGAAACGATCGAAAATCAATTTCAATGTCAAAATTATAAAATAGTTATGTTGCGTTAACTCGAGTTAAATATTAAACACCACTCATTAACTCCGAGTTAATTGATATTTAATTGTTTAACAGACGTGTCTACAGACTCAGTAATAGCCTTTAAACCGTATAATGAGCTTAAAGTTTATGAGTAGTGTTTACCGTTAAACTCGAGTTTTTAAAAATAGATTTGACTTTATTAAAATATTTACTTGGATTTATCGCATTAGCTTAAGCAACGCGATTGCTTTTAGAAAAGAAAATTTTCTAACCTGAGTTATCGGTGCACGACGCCTTAGATAATAACAGTAGTCGTCAATGATCTCTCCACTCGTGTGAAGCAAGTTCTAAAATCGAAAATAACAGCATCCGGTGCACTATCTCAAATTTCTACAGGGTTTCACATTGGGCCTTCAGTCTGCGTGCGAGTTAAAAAGCAACTCACGAGATCACTCCAGCTTTCAGCGTAACAAAAGCCAAATTAGCTTGGAACTTACCGAGTGATTTCTCGTTTTCGCCAGCGGGGAAATAAAAACTACACACACATCTTATTTCTTTGTACATATGTGACGCGCAACAATTGAACACGTGTGCTTGCTGGTTTACTGCCTGCTGGTGGCGAAAGCCGCAGACGAACGTTCGGTCGATCGCATGTGATCATGCGATCTTTTGTGTACTTTTGCAGCGCACCAAGCTACAAGACACGATAGAGCTTTGGTAAAATCACTAAAAAAATTGAAAAGGAGTTTGAAAAAGTATTGAACTATTGAAAGATATGGTGAGCGGCGCGCACACATATGTTTGCACAGGCGCGGCGTGGCAATTGTCAACAGCTATGTTGCAATGATGTAATTAGACAATTAGTGTGGCTTTCACACCCGGCCATAAACGGTCCATAATAGTTGAAAGCGCACAGTGGCCGAAGCGCTAGGAGGCGTATGTGTGTATGCACGCGTGTGGCAATTAAGTGCGGACAACAGCGAAATTGCCGCGGAAATCGTGTAAGCAACAACAGCGCTAGACAATGTGCAACGCGGAACCAGTTCTATGCTGAGCGCTGATTATCTTTAACCGCGCTATCAGTACAGCGCGCCACGGTGGCAATCAGCGACTTCAACGAAACTCTTTTATAAATGCACGAGCTCATACAGAGTCGCGAGTAAATGCGAGGCGAAGCGCTTGGCCAAAACTGTTGGAGCTTCCATTTCAATTTAGTTAAGCCCTTTGCGCATTTATTTTCAGATGATCTCTATTTTTATTCTCTTAATTTCGGATGACTCCTTTGTTGTTTTGGTTTTCGACTGCACTTACCTTATGCTTGCACGTAACTTGCACGTGATATACTGTCTCTGGCCACAGGGATAATTCAACAGTAGAACTATCAGTCAATAGATTGCCCATTAGACCGCCTCCGGAGACCTCCCAAGTGACCAAACACTGCTTCGATGCATTTGTGATCGCCTGATCCCAAGCGATGGTCGTCAGCACCAGCGAACCCTGGCGCAATGCTGAGTTGATGTTGAGCGGAAAGGGGCCCAATTGTTGATCGCAATTGTTCCAGCACTGCAAAACAGAAAACAAAGCAGAGAGAAGGTATGGTTAGCAAATGAAGCGCATAGTACAGTAATAAAAGCTGGAAATATAGCAAAGGCATGGCTTAAAACTGAGCTTGGTAAAACAGCAATAAAAATTCGAAAGATCGTAGATGTCGACAAAGCGCACACGAAAAAGGAAGAGATCAAGAATCGAACGTAGCGCAGAGGTAAGGGTTATGCAACTGGCGGCCTGGTGGAGGAGGAGTATATGTGTGTGTCTGTGCGAGCAAAGCGCATTGTAATTGAAATTAATTTGTGGCAAGTTGTTTGTTTTTGCGGTTAAACTGCTGATGCTCGTTGATTGCTGCAGCCAAGCGCAGCGCAACGCGGCGCAGCAAGGCAATTGAGGCAGAGTCAAAGTTCAACCACAGCGTAATGGCATTTAACCCGTTTTAACCCATTTTATGCAAATTACCGCTGGCTGCATGTTGCACGACCGGCAACTAAGCGCATACGGGGCATTAGCTGTAGGGCGGCAGGCTGACTGAGAGGTGGAGAGGTGGAGAGCTGTGTTCGTTTTGCTTGCTACAAGCGATGCGTTCGTGGCGATAAGTGTTGCAAGCAGAGCGCAGCAGCATAATTGTTGTTGCTGTTTGGCTTTCTTGCAGCTGAAAACAAATAGCTTTAAATGCCTGTCGACCTATCTACCTGCTAATCATATGGCACATACGCAGCTATTGTGCACCTACAAGTAGGTGGCGTGAGTGTCGTGGCACGAAGGAAATTATGATAAATTCTCTTTAGGTGGGTGAAAGGCAAACATTGAATGCTGTAAGTAGCAATGTGTAAGCGATTCGCAGTTGTTTACACTGCCAAATAAGGCTAAATGTGTTGCTGATGAGGTTGCAACACGACGCAGATAAGATGTTGTACAAATGCATGGCTTTTCTCAGTAGTTGGTTTTCACCCAAAGCTTTTGCCTCATCGACAGCAGCGATCTTTATTAGTATGTCATGCCACAGCGCAATAAAAATGTTGCTGCAGCGAAAGTAGCGAAAAAATGACGTAGCATGCGCAAATGCCGGCCGTACAGTAGCTGTTGCACAGTAGCCAAAGATTTGTGTTGCGCAACTTGGCAAATAGGAGGGGCAATTTGCGAGAGGTAAGCAAGTAGTGCTACAATGCACGTTGCAAATCGTACAACATTTTGCTGTAGATAAGATAAGTGCGGCATGCAACGGTGGCACTGCTTAACAATTTGCCACATGCTGTTGTTGCGCTCAGCTCTTTTTCTAATGCGTTTTTTTTATTTGCTCCAACTTTTGGTAATGAAAATGAAATCGGTGGTAAGTGGCAACTTGCAACAAGAAGTAGCAGGAACTATCGTGTTCAAATAAGTTCGATTTTTACGAAGTGACATGTGTATTTTAACGTTATTAAATAAGTTTTTTTTTAATAATATTTGCTTGTAAAGCGGTTTTTAGCATTGCAAAGCTTTTGGTAGTGTTGCACAAATTTATTTACTGAAATTTTGATGACTCTCCGTGGCTAATATAGCATGCATAAACTTTCAACAAGCCAACGCACTTTATGTGCACTTATGCGGGTATAAGGGCATAAGTAGAGCTTGATGTCGACTTGGAATTTTGTGGCAACCTCGCGACTTACACACAAACACCACTTTACAGTTTGGTTGCACGTACGCAAAGTATTTAATATGCAACTTGCTTTTTACAGGAATGTGTTGCATAAATGGATGAACACAGAAGGAAACTAACGTAATATTAAAACATGACGCAAGACCATGTGGCAGCTGCTGTTACTCAAAAATTCTGACAACTAGAATTTAATATGATATGAAAATTGCGTTAGCATGTTGCTGCATGTGTGGCAAGTGTACACACTTGTTTCGTATGCTAGCTGTTGTAATAGCGCGACATGTGCGCGCTACAAGCTGCATGCAACAAAAACGGCATTAGATTTTTTCTTCGCCAAACTGCCACTACACCCAGTAGCTCCGGATAATTTTGCATTTAGAAGGCAACATGCCACAGACATACACCAGCACATACACACAGCGACGCCGCAAAGTATGCTACGCCATAGATACAAGCATAAATAATTTAGAAACATATTGAGCGCTAAAGTATGCGCAAAAGAAATGGGAATAAGTTGAAGAAGCTTAAGAAGCTTAAGAAGTTGTAAGCCAAGTATGCGCTTCCAGCAGAAATCCGTTTAGGCAAGCATATACTCGTATGTGCTGCCACGAACGATTGCTGTTAGCTCGCAAATTGTGTTGCAAGTAGCTGCAGTATATTAAATATAATATTTTGTTTACGCCAACCGCCTGCAACATGCTTCCCGTAAGTGTAAGTTCTGCATATACGCCCCCCACCCGCATCTATTCACCTTAAAGGCTTTGCAAGCGCGCGAAATGTTGCAACACTGCTATACACTAGTAGCTTTTCGGCAATTCTTACAAATTCTATACAATTTGTGGCATGCCACATATATGCAGCGCTTTGTGGGTAGCTCTCTCGAGTTGTTCAACACTTTTTTTTAATGAAAATTCTAAGCTAAAAACTTTGCAAAAGTTGCTATAATTTAATTAAAAATTGATGATTTTGCCATGCAACACGCTAATTAAGTTCTAAGAAAGATTAAAATTTTACTGAAATTATTACCTAATTGTTTTTGCCAACCCTGCATATTTCTTGCCAGTATTTTGTTCTTGTTTTTATAATTTTTGTATTCAAATTTCCCATGAATAGAAAACTGTTTACAGACTTGGTGCTTTTCCAAAAACCAAAAGAACAAAAAACGCGTTATTATCTGCACTTTGCACACTCATTTCTTATTTAAATAGTGTTTTGCTCAACTACCGCTTTAATTTCCTTTTATCTGCAACCTTTTCGCACTTTTGCCACTTCCATTTCCGTGCCAACAAACAAATCTCCACAGACTTGCCACATTTATGCAAGTGTGGTTGCTCAGCATTGCAGCCGCTTTGCTATTTATGCGAATTTCGCATAGTTCAAAAAAGCTAGCTACAACAACAACACGCACAGCGAAATGTTGCACAAAGTGCATAATGCATATTTTATGAAAATATGCGTCGCTTTGTGAGGCAATTGGAAAGCTGCGCCAACTTGCGAGGCGAAAGAAATACCAAAATACGTAAATGTGCAACCATAAAGGTACGAATGTAAATGAAAAACCGAGCGGCAAACCAACTATGCAACGAATGTAAATTGGCAGCAAGTGTTCCAAAATGCTGTCATGTGTACTTGTATGTGTGCTTAGCTGCATATATATAGAAGACATTATTATAAATGCTTGAATTTTTACTGTTTCGCTTTGTTTCGGTTACTTTAAAGCACAAAGAGAAGAACACAAGTTTTTTTTTTGCACTCATTATTTTTTATAGTACTAAAAAATGAGGTGTTGCAAGTAATGAAAGCACACGAATTTGCACGTAAGATTGTTTACATATGTATAAGAATAATAAAATAAGCTGTTATTAGATTTTATGATGAGTGCTGATAGACGCAATCTAATTTCTAAGCAGTAAGGACACTGCCATTCTCCAGATAGTCGACTCGACATAACCGGAATGGACTCAAACTTTTATCCGGGTAAGGTCTGTCAACTCGGCAGCATTTCTCAATTTATTTGTAGATTATTTTTTGTCACTACAACAATAACAATAAAAAGTAATCATACTTGTATATACCTATACCTATATGTACTTCGCAGGCGAACTTAAGGCTTGAAGCAACATGAGTGATGAAATGCGCATTGATTCGAAATATGGAGACGACATTGGTGTGTTCTATGTATGCAGAGTATTTTTTTATATTTTCAAAATTTATAAGAATTTTTTTAGAAATGGTGAAATCGACTAATTATAGAAATATAAGCGTTGTAAAATGCCAGATGTTTGAACTCAAGTGTAATTTTGCAGTTAAAACCGTCAATTAAGCTAGAAATTTTGCTTAGAGATAAAACATATAACTACACTTACGTATTACCGCTCTCACTCTTTCTTAATTTTCAAATTAATTCATTTCAATCATAATTTAATTAACTGTTAAATACTAGCATATACAAGCACTGCGCAGTTCCATAACAGCGCTGCTAGTTGACTGTTATTAAAGCCAATAGCCTCCAAGCCAAATTAGTAAAAGCACTAAACGTTTCTATAGCTAGTCGGTAAGTATATAAAAGGCAGCTAAGCGACTTGTATTTGTATGTAAGTATGTATATGCATTTGTTTAGAAATTTCATAAAAAAGTTAAGCAGTTAGTTCGCACTCACCAGAAAACTGAACGCTTCTGGGATATAACTATTGATATTAGGTGGTGTGATGCACATCTGTAACGTAAAAAAGAAGAAAAAGAAAGAAATTTTGAAGTTTGTTTTCGTTTTCTCTTTTTTAAAAAATTCTCTATTTATATATTCTTCACTATTTTAAAATGAAATTGCATACGATTCTATATATTAGATATACTCGTTTCATTCTTTGTATGTGTGTTTGGCTTTTTACTTGCAAATGCATTTGATTTTTAAGGTGGCGGTAAAAATGTGTATAGTTTTACAACAACAAAAAATAAAAAATAGCAAGCAAGCAAGCGAACTAAAATAAAGCGTGCTTAAAAGTAGTTTCAGGCAGCAATTTTGTTGAAGCGTTGCATTTTTGTGCAAAGTTATGAAAAGAAGTTTTGAAAATATAAATGGAGTTGCAGGCGAAATTATTTTAGAAAACAATATTGAGTATTAGGTAAGTATTTTAATTACAAAATGTGTGCACATGCTTGCGCTATAACCTTAAAAAATGGTTTATTTTAAGTTGCATGCTTTTAATAAAAAAAAAAAATAATAATAAATTTAGCACTCAAAATATTATATATTTATATTTACTTTCATGTAAAATCTTTTTCCGTGAATAAAATCATCAAAATTGTTTCTCACTCTATGTGCATACGTTAAGTATATACAAGTGCCTCGAACAATGTCAATATGATGAGCATGCTGCGTCGCTTGTCAACACTTGTAAGACAAACATCAATATTTGTCATTTGCTGCAAAAACTAAAGCTACATAAATTCATTTTCATGCTTTCGGTTTCATATTTCATGCTTTTGTGTATTTTTGTTGTGTTTAGCTAGCGGTTATATCGCTGAGGGACATTTACAAAAAATAATCAAAAAGTTATTCAAGAGCTCTGTGCTGGTTATGCAGTAAGGAGGGGGCATGTGGCAAGCGCTTATAACGTAAAAACTAAATTTTGTTATTTTTTAATTTTCAAGTGATTTTTTTTCAAAGGAATTTGAGAATTAAATGTGCTATTATTCATAGTTATAAAAAATAGTTAATTAATATTATATATGCAAATAAGTCTTTTTTACTAATAAAATAATTATAATAAATGTTACATATGTATGTAAATAAATATTTTTTTACTCCTTGCTAAAATCTAAAATTAAACCAGAAAAATCACATAAATTAAATTAAAAAAAAAAAGTTAATAAATAAATAAAAATTAAATAAAAAATAATAATAACAAAAAAATAATAACAAAAAAAATGTTTAATTAAAAAATTAAACATTAAATATTAAAAAAAATAATAATAATATAAAAAAAATATGTTAAATTATTTTTCAATATGCATAATATTATAAATGCAAGTTAAAATGATATATCAACAAAATATTTTATGAAACAATTTTTTTTTTAATATAAAGAAATAGAGTAAATTTTTGAAAATAAAAATTCACTGAGAAATATAGAAAATATTATAGCGTAAAAAATTTAAAGTTTTTAAAAAAAATTATGTTATAATTATTTCTACAAAAAAAAAATCTGGATTCTTTTACTATATTCTTAATAAATTTTTTTAATTCGCTAGCATTCGCACGCCATTGGCAACTTTGAAAAGCGAAAATCGCATTTTTCTTGTCATTCGCCAAACAGCAATAAATTTATGTAAAAATAAATTCGTATCAAATATGCTTTGTTATGCGATGTTATGCTAACGGTGCACACCTAAAGCGATATCTACACTTATGCGGCCTCCTTCTTCAACTTATTTCTCTACTTCTACGCCAACAAAATCTTGCCTAATTAACATGGCCAATTCGGCAATTTGCTGCTGTTCTTCGTTGTTTAACATGATTAGCTGGAATTAGTATTGTGTTTTCGTGTGAACGAAGGTAGGAGGCGACACACGAACAACCTGCCGCTCGCTGTTCCGCTTGTCCGTGTATTTAGGTGTGTTTGTGCATTCATTACTACATTATTTAAATGCCTAATTAACAAACTAAATATGCATAAATTATAATAAATGTAATTATGGGCAGGTAGTTGGTCGGAATTCATTCATTTCATGCATCACACCGCCGCGGCAAACTTAATTCAATAAATGCATGGATTCAAATACGTATATACATATGTACATATGTGCGAGCGCTTGACTAACAGAGGTATCAAGTGTGCTCACCGCACGTAGGGCATGGTGTTTGTTGCTTTTGTTGTCTAAATTATTTTGATTTAATTTAAAACATACACATACAGCTGTTTTCACTTAATATTTACATTATAAATTTCGATAATTACTAACAAGCAACACTTGCTGTTGTTGTTGTTTCGCAGAGCTAACTAACTGCTCGCAGACCCAAGTAGCTTTTATAAATATGCAAAATTGATAATTTGAATTTGAATTTGAATGTGAATAGCATCGGTAGTGAGAATGCATTGCGATTATGTGTGTGTGTGTAAGTGAGGAGAATGATGAGCGATTTATGATTTCACATGAATATTTGACAATTTATGCAGAGCAGTGATTAATGACAATGCAAGAGACCGGCTCGGAACGGTGGGTGGTGAGAGAATAGTAATAATACTGTGTAATGAGCGCACGTAAGGCGTAATGAAGCGAGAAATGATGAACCTGACTTCTTGCCTAAGTGAATGAATGGCAGATGGACTGACTGATTGTCGCTCGGTTACTTCAAGTGGCAATTATGGCAAGTGCTATTCACATGTATGCTTATGAGTGACATAACACTGGCCAAAGGGGTTTGAAATGGGGCGTTGACAGCTGGCAACGGAGTGGCCAAGTGCGTCAATTAAATGTGCATTTCACAGTGTGACAGACAAGTGCTGACCCAACTGTGGTTGGTCGCTTAATGCGCTTATGTGTGTTGTCTTACGAAGTGGAGGAAATTCTAATTGAGTCAAAGATAGTGATTAATTTTATAGCGGAACTGCAAGCAACAGCAGTTTATGTAAATATTTATGTGTGAGATGCGGTGCAGAGAGAATTGTGATGTGCATTTTTGAGTGAGTTGGGAAGTTAATTAGTGTGGTATGCGAAATGACAGCACATTGTACAGATGTGTGCAAAATATTTTATATTCAAAGTCAGAACAAACTGAATATATGATGAATTCGAAAGCATATAACTAAACATTTTATTTTGTGGTAAGTATGAGGTCAAAATTAATCAACGTTAATAAAATATAGAGAGGATCTTTTTAGCGTCTTATAATGTACAAAAATTAATACTTTTATATATAAATTATAATTATATGAATTTTAAAAAAAAATTTTCTCAGATTTTTAATTATTATCCTACCTAACAAATTTAAGAAATGATGTAAGTCGAACAAAAAACATATTAAGTCTTTTGATAGTCAATAAAAGTGTCATAAATATAATATAAGGTAAAATTTCTAAAAAGTAAAAATAAACAAAATTTTTTTCGCAGCTCATAAAAATTGTTAATACCAAGTTTCATTGCTGACTGATATCACTTAAGTAATAAAAATACAAATTTAGAAAATATGGACCACATGCCAATCCCAATATTCATACATACCTAGACGCACACGTTCGACTTGATGTGGCAAACTTAAATCAGAAAAGCAGACAAGTAGAGATACTTGAAGAATTTCCCAAAAATATGAGGCAATTTCCAAGCATATCATATGACAACTGACATTTCATGTTATGGCTCAAAATTTGTTTACATTTTTTTGGCAGCTACATAATGCCGTGCTGCATGCTACACGACCAATGTTGAGTGCTGCTTATGGAAAAGTTGTAGAGATTTTGATTTTACATAAGTGGCACTCTCAGCCGTCCAACAGCGTTGGCAGCAGAGGAAATGGAAAGGATGTGCACAAGTGGCCATACAAGAGTTACATACACACATATACACATATATATATATATATATATATATATATATATGAACTACATATGCACTCGTGTGTGTATGAAGATTTATTATGCTGGGCTCAGCGCCGCTGCGGAGTTTACGTTGTCAACAACACAGCGCTGGAGAGCATTTTAGGCAAATTGTAGTCATATGTTCTGCATTTTTGTTGTTGCTATTTTTAAAGCACTGTAGTTTTACACATGTGCTCTTAAGCATACACATTTTAGTAAAGTAAAGGCTTGTACCCGTTAAACCTTATGTATACACCAGTGGGTATGTGTGTGTGCATATACATATATATTAGGGACTCATCACTCTCACATCACCGCCGCCGCAACTCAGCCAGTCAGTCTGTGGGGAGTAATTTTGTGAATGAGTGGAAATTGAAGCCATGACATGAAATTTTAATTAAGTGCTTGTACGTGTAATAGTAAATTCAAACACCCATACATATAAATTTACATATGTAAAATATAATGTTTGCCATAAAATAGATTTTTGCAGCTGTTTTCGACGATAAACTTTCTTTGGGGACGCTGCGTTGGCCTAAATAGGCCAATTTTATTAAGCAAAACTGCCATTGTGCTACTTGACACACATACTTAGTTATTATATTTTAAATACTCGTAGACATAAATATATATATATATATATTATGTAAAATGTTATTCTTATTTACTTTGTTCCTGGTCGCCTCCTTGACATAATTAAACCGCACTTAATTATATTGATTCGCATTTTAATTGCTTACTTTTAGGGGGTGCGCCAAGGTTTTGCGGTTTTTCGGCTTTCTGTGTCCCGAATTTGTCAGCTATTAAGAAGTTGACATGTGAGTAGGATATAATTGTAGCTTGACTTAAATTTTTAAGACTTTTAAAACTTTTTGTCAGAATTTTGGGCTTATTTAGAAAAAGCGAATATGGCCGTGTGGTTGTAAGGAAAGATATTGTAGTTAGACTAAAATTTTTATTTCTGTAAATTAACTAAAATAATTTAAATAATATCAAAAATTAATTTTAAAAAAATTAATTAAATTAAGTGGAATTAAAAATTAAATTTGTGCAAAATTAAGTTAAAATTTGGTTACATTTCTTATATAAATTTTGATATTTATTCTTTCTACGCAGACACTCGATGAAATACTCGTTAAAT